TATTGTCTTTTTATTCCATGGCCAGACACAAAAGTTAGCCACTAAGACAGCAGATTTTATCCCACTTTATTTTATCCCACTTTACTTAATCTCTGTTCCTTTCTAACCCATTGAATTTTTATATCGTTTTTCTCTCTCATTCCAGGTTTCTCATTGGCCAGAGGGACGCAAAAATTACGAGGCCTCTTATTGCGTGCCAGGAAAAAATAGAATATGTTTGACCTCATTTTAATCCTATTTTATCTCCATCTTCCTCTTACTCATTGAATATGTTATGCAAGTATCTTTCTCTTTTTATCCCAGGCTGTTGATAGGCCACTAAGGGGCCGGGAATAAACAAAATTCGTGTCAGATATATTTTTTTTTTATCAACTTTATTTCCATCTCTATTTTACTTATTTAATATTTTACATCGCTACTAGTCTTATTCTAGAAGTGCAGATACAAAATGTACCAACAAGGCCACTCAAGTGCCGAGGATAATCAAAGTTAATGTCAGTATTTTTCTTTTCCTATTTTATCTCTATTGCTCTCTAACCCATTGAATTTCCATATCGTCACTCTCTCTTATTCCATGGTTTCTCATTGGCCAGAGAGACAAGGCTACTCGTGTGCCAGGAAAAACAAAATATGTTTGACTTTATTCAAATCATATTTTATCTCCAACTTTCTCTCACTCATCTAATACACGAATATCTTTCTCTTTTTATTCCAGGCTCTTGAATGGCCACTAAGGGGCCGGGAATAAACAAAATTCGTGTCAGATATATTTTTTTTTTTATCAACTTTATTTCCATCTCTATTTTACTTATTTAATATTTTACATCGCTACTAGTCTCTTATTCTAGAAGTGCAGATAATACAAAATGTACCAACAAGGCCACTCAAGTGCCGAGGATAATCAAAGTTTGTGTCAGTATTTTTCTTTTCCTATTTTATCTCTATTCCTCTCTAACCCATTGAATTTCCATATCATTACTCTCTCTTATTCCATGGTTTCTCGGCCAGAGAGACAAGGTTACTCGTGTGCCAGGAAAAAACAAAATATGTTTGACTTCAAATCATATTTTATCTCCATCATCTACGAACAGTTGTGCAACGGAACAGCCTAACGCCTGCATTAGTGTCTTATTTTTCGAACAACTGTTCTAAGTTTTGAAATATCCTTCATTTTCATTGGCTATATTTCGCGCACGCACAGTATACAGGGTGATCCAGTATAAAGTGAACACCCCCTACCTTTTCGCTAAAATTTTTTTTTTCCAAAAATCAAGATAGCTATTTAGGGTATTTTGTTTCTAGGAATTAGAAAACGTTTTATGAAATTTAATTGGATTTTTCGTCAAAGCGCTGTGACGACAAAAGTAATTTTTTTAAATGGAATAATCTATATTTAAATCCATTTCTTAAACGCCCTTATTTTTCTCATTTCAAATATATATAGTTTGTTTATCTTTATTTTAGTAATTTGGAATATATTCTCACTTAAGAATCTTAAGATTCAAATAGAAATAGCCGAAAAGGTATCAAGGTAAACCTAAATAATTTTACCTTTAATAAAACTAATGGTTATTATGTTTTATGATACCTTTTCGTCTATTTTTATGTGAATTTTGAAGTGAGAATATATCGCAAATTACTAAAATAAAGATAAACAAACTATATATTTGAAATGAGGAAAATGGGGGCGTTCAAAAAATTGATTTGAATATAGGTTATTCCATTTAAAAAATTACTTTTGGCGTCACAGTGCTTTAACGAAAAATGTAATTAAATTTCAAAAAACGTTTTCAAATTCCTAGAAACAAAATACATTAAATGGCTATCTTGATTTTTTCAAAAAAATTTTTTTTACCGAAAATGTAGGGGGTCTTCACTTTATACTGGATCACCCTGTACATGTATCTACTGCGCTGCGTACGCTCACAGCTGTCCCAGTTGTTTACACTATGACCTCGTAAATTAGCAGCATTTCTAATGCTGCGTTCTTTGTTTATCCATTTATTTTTGAGATCAGTGATCATTTCTCTCTCTTATTCTAGGTTTCTCATTAACCAGAGAGATGCAAAAATTACAAGGCCACTCGTGTACCAGGAAAACGCAATATATTTTTTTAAATCAACTTTATTTCCATCTCCATTTTACTTATTTAATATTTTACATCGCTCTTATTCTAGAAGGATAGATACAAAATGTACCAACAAGGTCACTCAAGTGCCGAGAATAATCGAAGTTGGTGTCAGTATTTTTCTTTTCCTATTTTATCTCTGTTCCTTTCTAACCCATTGAATTTCTATATCGTTTCTCTTAAATCTGCCTCGCATTTAAATTTTTTCCATTTTATTTCCTTCTTTTTTTCACTCATTCAATTTCTTATGCCGTTTTATCTTTAAAAAAAAACTGACTTTGGCCGAGTTCGTTTTTGTCATCTTTTTCGTCGATTTGCTCCGAAATTTTGACAGGCACGTGATTTTTAAACTGAAACTGTCTTATCCAGTCACGTGCCTGTCAAAATTTCAGAGCAAATCGACGAAAAAGATGACAAAAACGAACTCGGCCTTTATATGAATTTTATTGTCAAATATGTGTCAAACTATGAATTAAGTGCATTGAAATGAATGACGGAAGAATAGGCTCGTTTAATAAAAAAAATTTAACGCGGTTTTTCACATTTTTATGGAATATTACTCACATAAGGGACATAAAAAAAATTTCAGCTCAAATGGATAAATATTAGAAAAGTTACGCGTTTTTTAATATTAAAACAGTTATGCTTCGGAAATTCATTGCTGTGACGTCATAGCATCTCTGGAGTCGAGACAGGCGAAAGGCCGTCATACACCTAGACCATATACAGTTTTGGATAACGCAGCGTGAACTGATTTTCTATTGACAGTTTGGCACACAGTTTGCGAAACTATACAATATTTTAAATTTTTCTTTTTGCATGCTACTTCCATAATTGTGCTTATAAAATATTGAAACTCAGGGAATTATTCAAATATACGAAATGTGATTTGGAAGAAAAACATCAAACCTCTACCAGATACAAAAAATGCCAAACTAAAACTTGTCCAAACGATGCCAAACCAAAATTTGTCAAAATAATGCCCGTATTGTCCGAAGTGACTGGCGTACCAGCACCGCGACGATCGACGTGACGGATGCAGTGACGTCACCGCGTGTTTCAAATTTGGAATACTTTGATAATTTATTTAAATATGAACAAGGGCTCAGAAAATTATGAAATTTTGCATAACTGCTAAACGTAACACGCTCTTTTAGAATATGTTATAAAAAAAATATGCTGTACGAGCCTATTAGTCCAGGAAATTATTATGCATTATGTTTGTCCCAGATACGTAACTACTTTTCTTTTTCCTAGTTTATCCCTGATCCTTTCTAACCCAAACTGAATCGCAACTTAACTGTCACTGTCGACATAAGTGTTCCACGATTATCAACTGATTCTCGTTCAATTCATCACTGCAGGTTCTCACAGAAGTACCTAACAAACTAGTCAAAGCAAATTTCATTGGTTGAAAATAGTCACAAAACTGTTTGTCGGCGATTTGCACCAATCGGAAAAGCTCTGACTGGTTTGTGATTTCTGTGAGAACAGATCTTAACTGTTTTTGAGACACTACCGGCCTTTTCTCTGGGCTGTCGACTCCGTTTCATAGAGCGTCGTTGCTCTAGAACTTTCTAGATTATTCGCTTTCGTTTGTTTCGAATTTGCTGGACTATGTCGGCGTATTTTCTACTTATTAGACGTTGAAAGCTCTATAACAGTGTATCAGTTGAGTTTCAGAGCCTTACGGCTTGATTCTTCAACATTTTTAGCTATTTAGATCAAAGTGTTTCCAGTATTGAAGTTACATTATATAAATTGACAAGATCTTCTTCAAATATTTGCAGTTTTTGGAATCTTGACTCAAGAATGAGTCTTCAGCATTTTGATGTTTCAGTCTTTTCAGCATTATTGATTCTTATTTAAGTCTTCAGTGTTAATGCTGTGTTTAGATTTCTCATTCTTTACAGAAACTCGACTAAGACTAAGACGCGTTTAGTTTGTGAAACTCCGGGTTCAAATTATGCAAATCTGAGAAAGTTCAAGAAAGTTTTGAGAAATCCGAGGAAGTTTAAAAGGAGCTGAAGATTATGGAACATATAGGTATATTTATCATAATAAAGAGAGTTTTAATGTAAAATTTTCTTTCTCGTTCCTAAGTATTGGGTCTTGTTGACTCTCATAATAGTCCAAGAGCCCAGAGCCGCCAGACACAACTTATTTTCTAAAGGACAGAATATGTGGGATTGAGTAGCACTTATATGTACTATGAACGTATGTATACCCGCTAAGTTGGGTAGACGGCCAATATACCGATAACAGGCGCGAAAGCTTAAAAAGTACTTTAACTTTTTTTCTAACGCTTGATTTTTATACATTTTATTGGGGAGACTATTTTATAACTACGTGTGCTCAGCCAGACCAATCGTATCGGCCAAATATCCCCCCAGACGCAATAATAGTTTTTCCGTGAGTGTGAGCGCGAGGATACTATGCATGCGTTTGAGAGTGAGCGAGATATCTATTATCCCCTCTTAAACTTACATTCTACTCCAGGCAAGAGTAGAAATGGGATTCGGTTTTTCCCATAATGGGAAAAACCGTTATTTACAAATAACAGTCTACCCAACTTAGCGAGTATACATACGTTCATAGTACCTATAAGTGCTACTCAATCCCACATATTCAGTCCTTTAGAAAATAAGTTGTGTCTGGCGGCTCTGGGCTCTTGGACTATAATGTATTTTATAACTTTAACAAGATAAATAATTCATAACAAATCTTCAAATATGAAAAAAACACTAGTAGAAATTATCAAAGTAATTACAAGTTAATCACCGAAAATTGCATAATTAGCTTTAAACAAAACTTTAATAACACCTTATTACCCTCAATTACAGATATTAATTTTTGCACTTCAATTTGTTGCAGGTTTTGCTGAAATTAAATATATATATACATAAATGTAAATATTAATCGTCAATATACGATGTCCCCTAACCCGAACGAGAAAAATCTAGAATTAATACAGGGAACTGGTACTCTAGATGAAGCTGACTCAGTTATCAACCGTTTCCCTCAGAGCGATTTGAAACCAGGATATCGTCGATTGGAAATTGTTTGGAAAAATGTTATTAACACTTCTATATCGCACTGTATAGCGATTTACGGATTTTATTTGGTTTTTGCTAGCGCTAGTTGGAAGACGACTTTATTAGGTGAGATTATTTTAAAGCCTAAAATTTTGATGGAGTCATTTATAATATTTTTTTTAGCGATTCTCAATTTAGAATTGGGAATGTTTGGCACAACAGCTGGATCCCACAGACTATGGGCCCATCGAGCGTATAAAGCCACATTTCCTCTGAGACTCATTCTAATGTTATGCCAGACTGTGGCATACCAGGTACGTGTTTATTTCACAAATTCAAAATAAACATTATTGAGTGTATGGTATGTATAGTATTCTGTGATTAATTGGGTCAAAGAACATAGATCGCATCACAAATTCCAAGAAACCGATGCCGATCCGCACAACGCAAACAGAGGATTTTTCTTTTCGCACATCGGTTGGCTATTGTGCAGGAAACATCCTGATGTTAAAAATAAGGGCAAGACTCTGGATCTATCCGATTTACATGCTGATCCTGTACTAAGGCAAGGTTTTTTCAAATTCAATTAAACAATAAAGTTATTTCTTTTTGTTTTAGTTTCCAACATAAATATTTTATGATAATAATGCCAATCCTGTGTTTTTTGTTGCCCACGGTAATTCCGATGTATTTCTGGAACGAGTCTTTTGTGAACTCTTTCTGTGTGAACTTGTTTCGTTATATAACTTGCCTTCATTTTACTTGGCTGGTCAATTCTGTGGCGCATTTGTGGGGATCGAAACCATATGATAGGTAAGTACCTACCTACCTGAGTATTAGAGAAATGTTGACATTACAAGGTTTTCCTATGTTAAGATTCTGACTTGAAATGATCATTTGGGATCAGTTCAACTCCATATTATGAATTATTGTAAGATTTGAAACCGAATTGTTTAAAAAAAGAGAAGCAAAAAAATTGAAAGTGAATAAAGTTGTATCAAATTGATTCAATTAGTGGTCACCTTAAACACGTAATAGACTTTGATGCAATTAATGAGACCTGTTATTAATGTCTAGTAATAATTCATCCAGTAAACACATGTAATGTTTACCTTAAATATAGCGTTTAACTAACTGAATACTATAGGCGCAACTATGGGGGTGCTTGAGGGTGCTAAGCACCCCTAAAGCAAAAATTAGCACTCCCATTCGGTATCCCACCATAGCACTACCTACAGTGGCACTACCTAAAACTAATATAAAAAATCAGTGCAACCAAATTATTTATTTTTTTTTTGTACTTTTTGTACTTACTTACGTCATCGATGACGTCATAATTTAGAAATCTTAAATTTTACTATCACTTCTCCGCGATTCTAAATTCACTTTTCCGCGATAGTAAACCCACTTTTCCGCAAATATTACCTCATTTTTCCGCGATTCTTATTTCACTTTTTCACGAATTCACTCACTTTTTTTGAAATTTTTGCCTCATTTTTTTTGCGATTTTTGACCCAATTTTTTGCAATTTTGTCTTCACTTTTTTGCGATTTTTGGCTTTTTTTAAGATTTTTAACTCTCTTTTTTGCGAATTTATCCTTACTTTTTTTGCGATTTTAGCCTCACTTTTTTGCGATTTCACCCTCACTTTTTAGCCGCTCACTTCTCGGCGATTACAAACTTATTTTTCCGCTATTTCATCCTCATTTTACCGCAATTCTTACCTCATTTTCCCGCGATTGTTTCCCTACTTTCCGCGATTTTATCTTTATTTTTCCGCGAATTTGACCTCACTTTTTTTGTGATTTTTGAATAATTTTTTTTGCAATTTTTGACTAATTTTTTTGCGATTTTACCGTCACTTACCACGATTCTAATTCCACTTTTTCGCGATTGTAAACCCACTTTTCTGTAAATATTATTTCATTTTTCCGCGATTCTTGTCTCACTTTTTTTTGCGATATTATCCTCACTTTTCCGCGATTCCTATTTCATTCTCCGCGATTTTATCCTCACTTTTCGTGACTTTATCCTCATTTTTCCGTGAGTCTATCTTACTTTTCCGCGACTTTAAACTCCCTTTTTTTGAAATTTTTGACTCATATTTTTTTTGCGATTTTTGACTCTTTTTTTTGCGACTTTATCATCACTTTCCGCGATTTTATCCTCATTTTTCCTCATTTCAAAATTACGAGAATAACGATAATTTTTAAAAAGTTGCGAAAAATTACGGGAATTACGTTGGTTAAAGTACGTAGAATATGAAAAATTATGAGAATTGCAAACATTTACAAGAATTACGGAACATGACGAGAATCACGGAATAACAAAAAATTGCGGGAATTACAAAAATTATGGGAATTGCCAAATATTACACAAAAGAATTACGAAGTTACTCCAAAATTACGTCAATTATTTGAATATTAGTAATTTTTGAAAAGTTACGAAAACTAACAAGACAAATTACGGGAATTACGAAAAATAATGAGAATTATAAAAATTTACGGAACCCAGTAAAATGACGGAAATGACGAAAATTTACGGGAATTATGAAAAATTATAAAAATTACGAGAATTGAGAAAAATACGAAAAACTACGAAAATTACAAAAATTACGGGTATTACGAAATATTACGGGAAAGAATTACAAAGTTATTTCAAAATTACGTGAATTACGGTAATAATTCTCAAAATAACGGATATCACAAGTTTTTGAAATTAGGAAAATTACAATAACTGGAGAATTAGAAAATTCCGATTTTTTTTGGAAAATTGAAAATTAAAAATAGTGATGCTGCGAGACTCGAGACTGGTCTCGACTTTTCGAGACGAGACTGGTTTTTGGTCTCGTCTCGTGAAGTCTCGACGAGACGAGACCAGGGGGCGGATTACGAACTCTCGATTCGAACCGAAACCGCCATGGATTTCGAACGCACTCCATGCGAATACATCAGAATGCGTTCGAAATCCATGGCGGTTTCGGTTCGAATCGAGAGTTCGTAATCCGCCACCAGACTAGGCGAGAGTCTCGTGTAGTCTCGAGTCTCGAAATTGCACTTAAAATTTTTCTTTCGTAACTTTATTATTGGACTATTCTGGGCTATTTGAATATGAAATCAGTAAATCAAATATCACGGTTACTCTTCACTGTGATTTTTCACTAATTACTTTTTCACTGTGGCAGTTTGGACTTGGACCGTTATAATATAAAAATAAAAACCATAAATAGGTACAGGGTGTCCGAGAAATAGCGTAAAAACTCTCCATGTAGTAGGGGACCCTTTGAGAAACACTAGAAAAGTAATTAAATTAAAAAAAACCTTATCCAGCATTATTCTTGGTAATATGAAGAGGTACATGTGAAAATTCACCTTCGAATTCTTCAGGTGATTACATGGGTATTTAATTCAATTCTCTGACATAATTGTCAACGAGATATTTTCAGTGTTGCAATTTTAATAAATATTAAAATGTAAATAACTTTCTTAAGAATGCCACTAGATTTTTTCATTATTTTCTTGGGGTTCCTTGTAGGGTCCTCTACCACGTAGAGAAGAGTTTTTACGCTATGTTTTGGACACCCTGTATAACTCGAGACGAGACGAGACGTTAGTACTCGAGACCGAGACTAAGTCACGGTCTCGTCCCGAGATATCGAGACGAGACGAGACCTACCCTAAGTCTCGTCTAGTCTCGTCTCGCGGCACCACTAATTAAAAAATTGAAAATACAAATAATTACTGGAATTACGAAAACATCACGATGGGAAAAGCGCGAAAAATTGCGGGAATAACGAAAATTAACAAGTTTTCCAAAAATAGAAAAAAATAAAGGGGAATTAGAAAATAACAAGAATTATCTGCGAAATGACAGGAATTAAAAAGTTTCGAAAATCCCCCCAAAAAAAAAACGGAGATTATCAACTTTTGAAAATTTCAAAAACTTAGGGGGAATTATAAAACTAACGGAATTTTTTTGAGAAATTACGGAAATTAAAAAATTACGAAAATAATGAAAATTAGGAAAATTTCGAGTTTTTCGAAAATTATAAAAACTAAGGGTATTATGAAAAAACGAGAATTATCTGAGAAATGACAGGAATTACAAAATTTCGAAAATTTCCAAAATAAAATACGAGAATTACATAATTTCGGAATTATGAAAATAACGGAGTTTTCTGAGAAATTACAGGAATTAAAAAAAATTACGGAAATTTGAAAACTACAGCAATTATTCAAAAATTATGAAAAATATGAAAAAATCACGGGAATTAAAAAAAATTGTGACAATTTTCAAAAAATTACGAAAATAACAAGAATTACAAAAAGATACGGGATTCACGAATTTTCCGGAAATTGCAAAAACTAAGGGGGAAATCGGGGGAATTATAAAATTAACGAAAGAATTTTTTTGAGAAATGACGGGAATTTTAAAATTTTCGAAAATTCCAAGAAAAAAAAAATTACGGGAATTACCTAGTTTTGAGAATCACAACAAACTTGGGGGGAATTCTAAAGATAACGGAGTTTTTTGAGAAATTACGGGAATTACAAAATTACGAAAATTTGAGGAACTACAGGAAATATAAAAATTGAAAGAAATAAGAAAAAATCACGGGAATAACGAAAAAATTACGATAATTTTTGGAAAGTTACGGGATTTATGAAAAAGTTACGGAAATTATGAAAATTACGAGTTTTCCAAGATTTGCAATGACTAAGGAAGAATTTTAGAAATAGGGAGAATTATCTAAGAAATTACGGAAATAATGAAAATTCACAAAAAAAAAATTGAAAATTACGGGAATTACGAATTTTTGAAAATAACAAAAACTTAATGGGAATTATGAAATAAGTAACTGAATATTTTAAGAAATTACGGAAATTAAAAAATTACGAAAATCAGAGAAACAACAGCAATTATTCAAAAATTACGGGAATTACAGAAAAATTACGATGAATTTTGGAAAATTACGAAAAATGTATGAAATTACGAAAAGGTTATGGGAATTACGAAAATTACGAGTTTTGCGAAAATTGCAATAACTAAGGAAAAATTATAAAAATAACGAAATTTAGTTGAGAAATAACGGCTTTTAACAATTTTTTTTCGCAATTTCACCTTCACTTTTCCGCAATTTCAAAGTCCAAACTCACATTTCCGCAATTTCAACTTAATTTTTCCATAATCTTTACTTTTGTTTTTCGTATTTAAAATTTCATTTTTTCTCGATTATAACCTTGCTTTTCCGCCATTTTTACTAAACTTTTTCGCAATTCCAACATTTCCAACCTCATTTTTCTGTAATTTTTACTTCTATTTTCGTAATTCCAACGTCACTTTCCTGCGATTTTGGCACTCACTTTTTCGCAATTTTTGAAACGTTACGCAAATTACGGAAAATTGCAGGAATTACGAAAAATTACTGGAATTATAAAAATAAACAGAATCACGGAAATTACAAAAATTATAGGAATTACGAAAATCACGAATTTTTGAAATTATGAAAAATACAAAACTTGGGGGAATTCAAAAATAACGAAGTTTTTTAAAAAATTAGGAGAATTAAA